AAAAAAAAAAAAAAAAAAAAAATGTCCCTTCCGACAGATCGAGTGCAAACTTCACTTTCCACCACTTTTTATAAATAGTCCTTGGAACGTTGACTCTCTTTTCGCGTCTTTGTCTTTCGTCTTTAATTTCGTAACCCCTTACTTCTTCTCGTCCGATTTCAAGAACAATGCGAGAACAGAAAGAAGATCTAAAAACGTCGAAAACTACGCAAACACCATCGCGTAGTTTTAGACATTTTTAGACCTTCTTTCTCTTCTCGCGAATCAAAGAAAAAAAAAAAAAAAAAAAAAGAAAGAGTTACGAATCACGCGTCAATCGGTCACGAATATTCCCCCTGCCGTACACATTCCTCCTGCTGTGAATTTCCAATATAAATATCGCCAGAAAGAAAAAGGGTCAATCTCGCGAATGAGCCGTGAGAATTATCGTGATCGACGGTACGCGTCGTGCCGGAGACACGCGATGATATCGCTGCGAGTTTCCACCGAGTCATTGTACACGTCATGAGGAAGAGAGAAAAACAAAACAAAAAAAAACAGTAAAAAATAAAAAAGAAAAAAAAAAGTTGATGAGAAGGAAAAAGAAAATTTAAGAAAGTTTTGAAAAGATAGTACACAACCGATAAACTCGCTGGCGATATCACGCAGGTGAAGAGCGACATCAAAAACCTTTCATCTCATTGAGTATCACTCTTCATTCACCTCCAGCACATTTTTTGTTTCTTCTTCGTTTCTTTCCCTCCCTTTGATCTATCTCTCCACGAGTGTTCCATATCTCTTCGATTATCCTAAATTTCTACTTTGTCTTGGCGCTTCTTCTGCCATGTATAGCCTAACCAATAATTAATTACTTATCAATTAATAGTATTATTCAACACACGCACACTCACACATTATTACATTCGTGATAAAGTAAAAATCCCTGAAAAAGTTTCGTGGTATTTTTTTTTTCGTTTTTTTTCTTTTTTTTTTTTTGTTGCTTTCTTAAACGTTTGTTCTCCCCTCTATTTTCAATTTTCTTCGTTTCCCTGAATCTTCTACTCCTCCTCTTCTTCTTCTTCTTCTTTTTCCTCTTCTTGGTTCTTCTTACAACTCCTGTCTCCTCTTTCGAGCGTACCCCAAAAACACGGTCGCTTTTTCATTCTCTCTTTGTGGAACATCCTCCTCGTAGCACGGAACAGCGTCCGCTTCGCGTGCAACGCGTCGAATGTTCCCTCGGTATATTTTCGTCTTCTTCTATTTTGTCCTCTCTTCCACCGAGCGCGCCTCTGATCTATTAGCACGTGTTTCTTCTTCTCTCATTTTTCTGCAGGAGAAAAAAAAAAAAAAAAAAAAGAAAGAAAGGAAGCGACTCGATGACGGAGGCATTTTCTTTTTTTTTTTTTTTTTGGTTTTCGTCGATGTTTCCTTCCATTTGTTGTTTCCGACGTCAATCAACCACCACTCA